AATGTGTATTTGAAAAGTTTATCAGATCTACAGATGCACCGGCACTAAGAAAAAAATGTCGAATTCAAAGTGCATATGTGCGTCCCAAGCCTCAGGCGCGAAGAGGCCGGAGTGGGAGCCGCCGTTACGGTTCGCCGTGACCGAGAAAAATCTGTTCACCCTCCCATAAAAAGTTATCACTTCAAAAATTAATTGTTATTAAAAACTAATAAATTTCCAAAAAACTATAATAGAAAAACGGCAACAATGTTTTTCACGGTAATCTGCCTAATTAACAAAACGTAAAAACCTGTTGCTTCGTAATTATTTAAAACTCGGGTAACCCTGGATAAATAAAGAAAGTGACAATAAGATAGACAAGGATAAACGTTTAATTCAACAGGAATCGTTGAATGGCGGAAGCTATTTCGAAACTCATAACCTCGAATTATTAATTTGTTTACATATTACAAAAACATACATTTGAGTCTGTAACTCCAAACAAGTGCCTGTGTAATCACCTTATTATGAACTCTTCCCGTATGTACTCTGTAGCATTTCCTTTGAACTAATTGTATATCCGCAAATTCGTGAAAGGAAATTCAAAGTAAGTCACAGTTTGACTAATTATTGTTATTATTGACAAGGGCTATCCACCTGTAACTATCTGTTAATGACAAAAAACATCATTGCCACTTTGACTTTTCATCAGAAAATTGTAGAGATTAATCATGGAACACTCTCAAAATAATGCTTAATAACAAAGTTGAAATTCGATTTTCAACTGTTAATATCTGAAATTATCGAAATCTGTGAAATTATCGAAAAAAAAATGTCACTATTTTTCTCCTACCTTCCAAGTGAGCCCTTATTACCCCTTAAAAGGAATGACGCCAATTTTGAATCACCCTGTATATTTGGTTTTTACATTTACTGTCTATTAGCTAATAAATAACATTTAATTTGATGAAAGTCCACTAGCTAGCTTCTGGCAATGTCTCACAATATCCTTTAACTTATAGACTAAATCTTGTAATTCCTGGCTTGTGCATGTAAATTCGATAAACTCATGTTTCAGCTCTTCTAAAACAGCATCATACTTCTCTATTTTTAAGGACAATTTAAACAGTGGCCCATCAGGCTGGTCAAGTGAATTTGACTAAAATCACAAAAAAATTGTTCTTGGTATATGTTCTACAATTCGGTTTTCTGGGGTATTATTGCAAAGTTTTGAATCGTTTGATGGAGGTAGAAAAAAATCCAGGAAACTGTCTTGTTTTTAGTAAATTAACTTACTTTTACAAGGTGGCCGACTTCCCATCTCACATCCGTTACATGAGGTAAATGAGTTCCAATATTTATGAACTGTAGTCTCATTCGGTCGTACCAAAGGCCATAATAATTCTCTAAGAGTTTTGCCTTCTCTTGTTCAATACTACAATCCGTGGTCAAGTAGCTGAGAAGATCTTCAGGTGTTTCACTGTGTCTGACAAATTGGGTCAAAATGTATAGTAAGGAAGTTTGCAATTGGATTAAAGCAAAAGTATTTCCATGACTGGTAACTGAAATTGAAGAGTTAAAAATAATAAATGGATTTAATGCAGACGAACATTACACTTTGCCTTACATTTCTGAGAAGGCTCTTGATTAGCCAAGGATTTGCAACAGGTCTCAACCAATTGTTCTAAATTGTACTTGCTGATACTGTCATTTGTGTTTAAAATTTGTAAAGCCTTTTTATGTTTTTCTTCAATTTCCATAATGTTTGTTTACAGTCACTGTTTCTTCGTTCCAACCAAAAACTCGATTTTAGGTTAACGTGCAGCGTTGCCAGGCCAAGAGCTTCCATAGCGGTAGCGTGACCTCCGTAAGGCAGGTTGCAAACAAAGATTTGTGACGTCCCGACAAGGAGGCGGTCGATTTCCATTTACCCAATGCTTATTTCCTGCAGGGTTTTATTAAAACTGCTTGCAAAATGGTTGATTTTTAACAAAAATTTACATAACATTACACTAGATGAAGAATTTACCGACATCTAAAATACAGGGTTGCTCATTAGTGCGTCAAAGTGCGATATCTCAGTAAATATGAAGTTTACAAGAAAATTCGTCCAACGAAAGTTTTTCACGTT